GAGGTTCAGACCCTGAACTTTCATGTCAAACCTCAAGTTCAGGCCATCTTACTGCCTGAAGATTAATTTTGGAAGAACACAGCTAGCTGAGCTCTTGGGAAAGGTGAAGAAAAAGTTATTTTCCAGTTCCCACCATCACAAAATCTCATGCTTGAGTCCTTCAGGAATGACACTCCTTCCTTCTCTGCAGAGCCTTGTGTCATCTTTGGGGTTAGCCCAGTCATGATGTGGTTATCTGCAATAGGAGATGGTGTAAAGGTGGCAAAAGAGCCCCCTATATCATGTCTGATTGATTCTTCCAGCCTTAGACCATCCTCTTAAGTCAGCACTCTGGCATTGCTACCTTGCTGCTTACCAGTCTGGCTCTCCGTCCTAGAGTCACGGTACTTTAGAGATCATGTAGTCCTACCATACAGTGCAGGAATTCGGGACTACTGCTTCCTTGAGAGATAGCCTTCCAGTTTCTGTTTAACCCCTCCAGCAAAGAAGAGTCCATCACATTGCAACACGATCTATTCTGACTGAACAGATCTTGCCATCAGCAAAATCTTCATGATGTCCAGTCAAAGCCTACTTCTTCTAATGTAAACCCATTGTTTCTTATCTCGCCTTCTGGGATGACGCAAAACGTTTCTGCCCCACCTCTGCGTGGCAGCCCTTCAAATACTTGAAGACAGCGATCATGTTTCCCTGCTGTCTTCTCTTCTCCCAGCTAAAGATATCCAACACTTCCAACTGCTCCTCTAAGGTGTTTCCTTCCAGGCCCCTTAACATCTTGGCTGCTCTCCTCTGGATGTGCTCCCATTTTTCCATGTCCTTCCGAGTCACCTTCTGCCATGCCTCATGGCCAGCAGCCAAGATGGTCTTCTAATAGAGCAAGCAGGCTGGTAACCAGCTGAAGCGATGAGGTATAGCAAACACGATGTGTACACATGACTCTTGCAGCTCCCTACCATGATTGCATTGTCACGTTTGTCTGAATGGGCAGGAAACGAGTGTCAAGCCAAGCCACAAGTGACCGCAGTCAAGGTGGTGGTGTGTCTTGCTCTGACGTTGGATGCTCTTCCACTGACAACGTTGAAGTCAAAGCCAACTGCAGGAAAAGGCCGGTTCCCTTAAGTAGCCAGACCCCATGGGCTGCTCCTGCCCCAGCATATCCCCCCTCTCCCTTCCCTTCCAAAAACAGAGAGACCTGGCTGATCTCCAGGCTGAGCTTCAGCAACCTTCAGACCACGACTGTGGAAGGAAGCTGTGCTATTCCTCGTTGCACGTTCGGTCTTCATGCCAAGGAGCCCTTGATGCTCCAGAGTGACCCTTTCTCTTGCAAGAACTGCCACCTCAGGGATCTCCAATGACAACTCCCAGGGAGCGAGCAATTTAATCCTGCTGACCCAGAAGCAGCGGCCAGAAAACACAACACCATGATGGAACTGATCTCCTGGCTGTGTCCTATCAGCTCCTCGATCGCCCTGTCCCCCTCCCCCACCCCAGTGCCCTGGATTAACTTTGGCCGTGCCTTTTGCCAAGACCACTGCTGTTCTGGGCTGTCCTCAGCTACTGTTCTGACAGACAGTTCCTGGGCCAACCCTTCTCTCTGCAGATCTGCTCCCAAATAAAAATATCTGCAACCAGCCACCTTCCACTCTTTGCTAATCTCCACCAGGGACCTCCAGGGGGGAATTCACCAGCCCAGCAGCTCGTACCAGGGGCTTTCAGCGGGACCAGGGACCTTATCTTCATGGCTTCTTAAAACTTCACATTCTCTGAAAGAGGTTAGCCGAGGCCCACTCCCCTCTTGACCCCAGGTCTGCCCACCCCCTCTCCTGATTCCTTAGGCTCCAGTGCCAACTCTTTCTGAAGGTCAGTGAAGGTGAAGGGGGAGGCTGCATGCTGCCAGGAATATGTGGGTGGAGATTTGGGTAAAGATTGCTTCATTGGGAGCAGAATGAGTGACCCAGAGAGCTGACTGCAGAGGGCTTTTAAATGGGCAGGGGGTATGAGAGTTTGGGACGATGCCTGGGCAAAGAACTTGCTTAAAGGAGTGGGGGCTTGCAATTTATAGTAAGGGGCCTCGTGGCGGGGGGGGGGATCCTTAAACCAGAGGTATACCCCACTTTTTCGGTGCCGAGCAGTCCCAGCATTGCATCAAGCACCAATGCCCTACAACTGAGACAGAAACAGAAGAAGTGAACTTTTGCCAGAAGAAATAGCCGCGTTCCTCCCTCCATGTCTATCTCTAGCCGGTGTCTCTCCAGTATGCAAGCTGGAAAGGGACCCACCGCCCTGTTTGCTATCATCGCCGTGCAGCAGGCTGCAGATAACGCCGCTCTGAAACTAAA